AGCCCTCCCAACACCTATTTTAAAGGTGATATATTGGCAGGATGTGGTTAGGACTCTGATGAAAAGATGTTAGGGAAAGCAGTGTAAAATTAAAATGGAGACACAGAAAAAGTAATCACAGGGGTAGACTGTTTCTGCATAGCAACAACACCACAAATCAAAGGCCCGTGGGTCCCCCTACCAACACCATCCCTGCACCCCCAGCTGGTTCCCTCTAGTGTGAGAACCTGGCTCTGCCACTATGATTTGCAGATATCTGTGACTTTTTATATTTAGTATAGGAGAATGAGCTGTTATTGCTACTTTAGGAAAAGATAAGCATGTTTCTGGATATACATAAGTATAAAGGGACATTGTGACTGAAACATTTTTTTGGCGTTAGAATCCTAATACACATCTAGATAATCCATATGTACCTATATTTCACATATCCAGTACATTTTCTCCAAAAACAGATAGGTAACCTTCTGTAATTCACTTAGTACCATGATAAAAATGGCAAATAATTTGTACAACTTGAGACGTTTCCACCAAAACAATCAGACCATTTATATATCTATACTTAATTCTAGTGTAAAAAGAGAAATAGAACCTATACCAGTTAATGATACATCAGAATATTTCATTTAGTCTATGGTTCTTTCGCTGCAAAAGCATCCATCATTACACTATTAGAAATAGAAGAAATTCCTAATGGTAAGCTATTCATAACAATGACTTATGTTGGATTTCTGGTTTCTATTTCTTTTGAGGAATTTTAAGATTAAACTCATAGATAAAGGAAGTTAATTTCTATTATGTTGCAGTTTCCTGGAAAATAGCATGCTGCTAGGGCAAAGACTGAACATCACTCAGGTTGTAGTTGTTGATTTGGCTTCTATATAAGTTAGAATATTGGTAGGACTGTTTTAACAGAGACCAAAATGGTAATGACTTAAACAAAATATATGATTTATTTCTCTCCCACATAAAAGTCAAAGTTGGTAGATAGTCCAGATAGGTAATAAAGTCCTACTCCAGGGATCATTCAAGGACTTTTTGTATTATTGCTCCACTTTTCTATGGTGCTGCTGCCTTACCACCATCAATCATCTCCATGTTCCAACCTTGGGATGGAGGAAATAGAAAATAAAAGTCAAGTGGTTTCCTTTAAGCCTTTAACCCAGTGGTTCTCAACCTTCCTAATACCGCGACCCTTTAATACAGTTCCTCATGTTGTGGAGACCCCCAATTTCATTGTTACAAATTGAACATAATTAAAACATAGTGATTAATCACAAAAACAATATGTAATTATATATGTGTTTTCCGATGGTTTTAGGCAACCCCTGTGAAAGGGTCATTCGACACCCAAAGGGGTCGCGACCCACAGGTTGAAAACTGCTGCTTTAACCAGAAGTTGCACCCACCACTCAGATCTCATTGTACATATTTTAGTCACATGGCCACATTAGCTGAAAGGGAGTCTGGAAAATGTAGTCAAATGTAGTCTGGAAAATGTAACAAGCTAAAATTGACAAATTTTTACTAAAAGACAAATGAGCTTTTAGATATTGCATACTGGTGTAAACAGTGACAGTTTCTGTCACTATGCCTTAAATAATTTCATATTGCTTTTGAAATTCAGGCGGGAAAAGGAATTACTTTCCTATTTACCTTCAGATTATTCCCAGAATCTAGGAAATTTTCTTTTACAAATTTCTAATCACTAATATCTAAATACCAGTGCTGCTGTGCTATATGATAGCCAGCAGCAGGATGAACAAAAACAAATTTAATTAAAATACCAATGTTTTTGTTGATAAAGACTCTTCCAAGAGTAATAGTATTTTCTCTGTCTTACAGCATTTAGTGTTTTTTGAAGCAAGCTGTTTCACTTTTGAAAGAAAGTTATTAAATTCAAAATGCTGTCTCCATGTAACTTCTGTCTTTGGTTGTAGTTGTGTCTTATTTTTAAAATAAGCGCCTTGTTTTATCAATGGGTTTTCCATGAAACAGACTGATTCCAACTCCAAGTTTAAGTTTAATGTGCAGGATGTTTATTAAGGAGTGACCTTGTTTATAACACCTGTGGGCATAGGGAGACGTTAAGCTAAACTAAGCTGAGCTGAGCACACGAGGAGCTCCAGAGATGGAATGACCCTTCAGGTCAGACCTGAGTTTGGCTGAGATTAATAACCCTCATACTATTACATCAATCAGTACTTTGATATGGGCAGGCTAAGAAGAGGCGTGACCTTGGGCCAGGTCGCTCTCTGCAGCTGAGTCAGAGCCTGAAGTGTGAACAGTTGAAAGCTGTCATACAGTAGCACTCTCAACAGCTAGTATGCGAAGCCCTTCTGAAGAAAAATCTATATGGCACAATTTGGTGTTCCCCCACATACCCCCTGTACCTGGCATAGAGCCTTTATATTTCATCACCATTCAATAAATGCTGTGTGTGTGTGTGTGTGTGTGTGTGTGTGTGTGTGTGTGTGTGTGAATGAACAAATATATGAATGGGACCAGGCCAAGGACAGAGCACTGTGACATGTCACTACCATCTAGTTTTTTGGCTATCTATTGATAACACACTCCAGCCTCCCTCATTCACCATATGATGTTTCACCCAACTGTGCCCTCATCCTGGTCACATATTCCCATTTTGTTTAGACCAGTGATGAACAAAACTGAGATACATGGGATTTCTATAGCTTTGCCAGACCAGAAGAGAGAGTGGTGGGTTTAGCTTGCCATTCTGTTTGACTACTTCTTTGCACTGGCACCTAAGATTACCACCTTCTTTTTAAAGTGTGTTATGGCCATCTGCTAAAATAATTTGTTCTAGAATTTGGGGTTAATAGAAAGCAGCTGTGTAGTAAAGAAAGAGCATAACATATGGATTCAGACCCAGGTCTGCCATGTTCTCTCTGTGTAACCTCAGATAAGCCCCACAATTGCTCTGAGCCTCTATTCCTCTTCCTTGAAGTGAGAACAATAACAGCCCTTAGGGAATTTTTGTGCAGATTACTTTCAGTCTCTGGCAGGGTCAAATCTTACTTGACTTTTTGTCCCCAAGCTTAGTTTAGCACACTGCATGACATACACTAGGCATTCAGATAGTTACTCAGTAAATGACTGAATGAACAGAGCATACAGAATATCCTAGTAACAGTACTTGATGCATAATTGGTGCTTTGAAATTGTTCATTTCATCATTACTGGTTAGGTTAGGGTTTTTCGGAGAAACAAAACCAACGGAATATATGTATATATGTGTACATATATCAAGAGATTTGTCAGAAATTGGCTCACACAGATATGGAGGCTGAGCAGTCCCACAATATGCTGTCTGCAAACAAGAGACCCAGGAAAGCTGGTGGTG